TGATAAGTATAAAAGATGTTATATAAATATTTTTGTTCAATTTAAATATTTTATTACTTTAATGGTGAATATTTTGCTTATAAAGATATATGATGAGGATAACGTTTTCTTTTTTCTTTAAACATTATGCTTGATCAGTAAATTCTAGCATTATTAAATACACATTATATAAAATATATTATAAATATATTATGAAACATATAAAAAAATATGTAATGCAAGAATATATGAATATATATATCTATTATAGTATCGGATATATATATATATATATATATCCGAGATACTATCTATATATAATTAATTTTTGATAAATCTACGAGTTTCTCTTAGATAAAGGTCGATGAAGGTCAATACAACTGATAAACGTCAATATAACTGATAAACGCTGAATGCATAACATCATGACGATTGTAATCGAGCGTATTTACAAATAAACATCGGAAGATGCTGGTTGATACTACCCCTCTCGTCATTGTTAATATTTCAACATTATCTTCAAAAAAGAATATGCCTTTTAATTACTTTTTTGCGCAATGATTTGTCGAAAGTGTAATGCGTGTTAAACGAGTTAGTGCTTATCATCATTGTGGGGAATATCAATAAAGTAGCTAATAAAATCGTGAACCGCTTTCACATGATGCAGAGTTTTATAAGAGTGCCGTGAGATATCGCAATGTGCTGATGCCTCTCTTTCTCTCTGAGAATACTTACGATTAGTGCGAGTAATTACAAATAGTGCTGTCACATTGTTTTAAATTCCTATTGGAAATTATTACATTTGGCCGAGAAGAGAAGTAGAACATCGATTTTACGAGTAAGATTCACGACTCCAATACTACGTGGCAGGCTTACCAATTATAAGCCTTATAGGCTTACAAATTATAATTAATAGTTAATAAAGTTTCATTGATTTTTGAATTTTTATTTCTTCGCTTCTTATCTTTGACTTTTCACTGGCGGGAATTCTTCAACTAAGAAGAAGAGGGAACTTTTTATTCGAGCTTAGTTGATTTATATGCAGATTACGATCAATACCTAAGCAACACGTTCGACTACCACAGAAGTACGTTACTAAGAAAATATCTTGGAGTGTGCACGCATTAGGTTTCAACCGGTAATAGAATTACTCTCCTTTCTCGGAGGAATTGATTTCTGTCTCAGTGTTACATACGATGTCCCTTGACAGACATCAGCAGAAACGCTCGTTGTAGGTAGATTTAACGTGTGACAAATCCATTTTCCGAATATATCGTTACTGAGATTGTTTAAATAATTGCTGTAAACTGTCGCGCGATTTGTGTGTGACTTGTATACGTAGATTCCCCGTTTATTTCCACAATCGATACAATCGATATTCCCGGTGTTTCCACACTCATATTTTCCGGCTGTCACTAGTCATTTTTGCAGAATAATGTATTCTCAACGGTGCAGTTGTTCACAATTTTTCACTACTGCAAATATTGCTTTAGCATAACGCCGTCGCCCTCTGTCGATTGAAACGCAATCAATAATTATTGTATTTTTGGATGTATAAATATGAACAGAAACAAAATGCACAGAGTCGTAGAGTACAAAGAAAAATACGAAATAAAAAATTAACTTAATTAAATGTTTTACTTAAACGTTATCTTACTATTATTTTATTTACAACGTAATATTATATCTGATGTTTGAGCGGAATATTTATTTTTAATAAATTTGTATTAATTTTTTTCTATTTATTTTTCTATTTATCTTATTCTTATTCAATTAAAAAAATTTTTATTGTAAATTTAGATGTTTAATTCACCAGACAAGTTGTATAAATGTATTATAATAAAAATATATTCGTGCGTGCACATTCACACACCTGCAAAGTTGAAAAACATGCACGAGTTATTGTAAATACTGTAAATAATATTTACAATATATCACAATTAAATTCTGTTTAAATGATTAATTTATTTGAGTAAAATCCGTTTGTATTGCAGAACGAGCGCTCCCAGGAGCCGTAGTAGCATGGATCTCGTGAACCTGACTCTCCGCTCTCTCAAATTGGGAGACGTAAAATCATCAAGGGAGAACTTCTTGCAAGTCGAGCGTGACGGTGTCACAGAGAGAAACGATACTATCGCAGAGCGAAAATGCAGACTGAAGGAAAAGTCGCGCGATGAGCTCCGGATAATCAATTTGGCCGAGGTTGCCTGGCACGACACTCCTGACGACTGCTGGCTTGTGATTTACGATTACGTATACGATTGCACGGAATTCTTGGACAGTCACCCAGGCGGCCAGGATATTCTCTTGGAACATGCCGGACGAGATGCCACCTTGGCGTTCGTTTCAACTGGTCACTCCGCCGTCGCTAGCACAACCTTAGAAAGGTACAAAATTGGTGAGCTTCCGCCAAAAGAGAGACTTTTCCGCACTCCCAACGGCCTGAAGATCTCGGGATTCTAATCTGTTCAGATCATCAAAGGTTGTCATCGTGACGCACTCGGGAAAATATCAAATTTTACATGAAAAATTGGAACCGGCATATCAAACCCGTTTATTTAACTTTTTTGAAAAGTGTGCTTGCTACAGAAGATTCTACAGAAGTTATGTTTGAAATATTGCCGTTGCTTCTATAAATAACATTTTCTTTTTCCCGAGTTAGTCTTCTTTTCTCCAAGTCTTCTCATTTGATTTTATTTTAATTGATTAACACTGTAGATTTCATTATATTTCGTCAGCAGTGTTGTGATTGAAAAAAATGAATTGAATAACTTATTGTAATGTGCCGCCTATTTTTACATAATAATTTTTTCGCTTTTCAGCTTTCTACAACTGATCTTATCGTATTATATCAGTAGCGAGAGATATTTTTAAATAATCAAAACTTAGACTGAATCTATGTAACACTTAAATTGTTATATCTAGAATTTTAAACAGAAAAGAGAAAATGATACATATCGATGTGAATTTTATTTGTTTGTAACAAATCACAACGATAGTATTTTTTTTTATCAGTATTTAAACTTAATACAATCATTACTACAATAATGCAAGCTACATTATACATTAACTTGACAACGCTAAGCGATAAATTAGGTTTATCGTTTCTCTGTTTTTATTTATTACATTTACAATAGCGATCAAATTGCGTAATTTTAAATTTCTTTCTCTTGTTTCACGTGCGCGTGCCAAAGTATTTCCTAGAATGAAAAAAACAATAAAATCATTGGATCATGTGACGAAAATATATATAGCTAATATTGAGCAACGTGTTATCGCCCGTCTATCACGGCTAAAAAAAAGTTTGTACGTCATTTTGTTCTTGAACCACGAAATGTACCAATTGAGAGAATAAATACGCGATAAACGATAAGAAGTTAATTTTATTCGGTTAAATGGGTCGCGAACATAATTAGTTACATTTCTGCAATTAATCTTCGTGAGTAATTACTTGTAATGCAATAAGATTTTACAACTTCAAGTTATTATAGTTAGTAAATTAATGAGACGATTTTAATTTCGTAATAACATGACATCACTGATTATATATGTACAGTAGAATTTCCCTAACGTCAGTACTTTGTATAACTTTCTTTATTCCTCCCCCTTCCCCCCCCCCCCATATATGTACATGACGTCGTGTAATACAAAATAAAAATTTTCAGTGTTAAAATAGGTCATGTTGCGTTGGCATCTGTGCAAAACGTTCTCACTCTGTATATAACATATGCAATTTTTTTTTAATGCCTCCGCCCCTAATGTAATAAGAATGAAGAGAACCTCCCTAATTTATCACAGCCCCGCGTAGTAGAGATTATGGAAGTTTCACTGTATATACCGGACAAAATATTTGAAGAAAGATTTTTTTGGTATCCAGACAAATATTATATTTTTCATGGAAAGTTACTTTATTATTACTGAAGATAATAAATATTGAAAATTCTTTCTCTTTCTTTCTGTCATGTATTCCGAAAGAAGTTCGAACTATTTCGAAGCTACATTTCTCAAAAGGCTTTCCATATCTTTATTCGAAAAAATAAATGAAATAGAGGGCCGGTGAAATAATGATCAGTGCTCAGAGAATAGAGAATACTTTACACTGGACACATTTTATATATTTCTTAATTCTCTAACACACATTTATAATATACATAACATACAGTATGAGGTAATATAGCGATATAGCTCGTTCGTAATGTAATATGTTGTCGATAGACCGTTTATAATAAACTCTTTCGTTTCCATTAGTCGGAAGGCAATACCGTTCGTTTATTAAATTAGCAATGTACTCAGTTTATGCGTTAACTCTATATTTATCTAGAATTACACACATAACAGTACTCTTTACGATATATTTACACTTAATCACAAAATGTACATATAAAATATATAATACGTTTTGTATGTATATGCGTGTATGTGTATACGTGTTTGTGCGTGCACATGCATGCGTTTAAGATAAAATAAAAAAAGAAGAAAAGAGATAAGTCTTATTAATATGATTAGTATCATTCTCTCCCATGGCGAGCCGTCACTCCTTAGTTTTGCATGTCTTAACATCTCGCCGATAGAAAAACGTTACAAAACCGATGGAAAAATTTCGATATAAGGATCTTCCCGTATATTAAATAGATTTTATGTTACATGGTGGTGAGTTGCGATACGAAATATGTGATAGTCTATATATATATGTATATATATATATATATATATATATATATATATATATATATATATATACACATCCCTCTCTCTAACTTTATACTATATAATTGAGTAACTAATTTTGCTCTCCATTCGATTTTTAACATTAAGATAGTTTGTTCATAATACATAAGATTTCTTCGTACACATTTAATTTGAACTTAATAAGTGCATAAATTTCACATGTGACTAAAACTATATACTTTTTCTATTTTATTATGCCTATGATAGTGATACTAATGCGATACTTGCGCACTTTGATGCACACACATCGTCACGCTACGCTACGTTGATCAACACCAACTTTACATACTACTTTCTGTTTTGTATGTTGTTAGGACTGTGTCAAATAGCGAATGTCCACAGCATTCGCTCATTTATAAATTGTCTCTGCTAAATTCTAAATGACAGTTTGAAAGTGAGTATATAACATAAATGAAAATAGCTTCGCTAACAAGTTTTTTTTTACAGTTACTATTGTTATAATTATAAGTCACAAAACATAAAAAATATAGCTAAAATCATTTCGACGTATCAGAAATTCTAATCTAAAAATGTTCGAAATAGTAATTATTTATCGCGGAGGAACAATATTTGTATAGAAAAAATTCAATTCGACATTTAAATTAAATTTTTAACTTTTCATTTTATAACATTGAATGTATCATAATTATTAAATCTCAAATTAAATTTTGTTTGGAGCAAAGTTTATCCTCAATTCAATAAAAATAAAAATAAATCTGTTATTAATTTTCGCTTTTAGGATTTTATTCTGCAACGCTTTCTGTTTTATAATGTGAAATAAATTGGATAAATTAGATTTAATATAAATTATAATTTTAGAAAATGAGAGTGTATTAAGTCAATATACGACTCAATATTTAATTTCCATTCTTTAAAACAATATTCAGCGCGAAAGAGTTCCTTCAGGTTTTTTTTCTTTTGAAAAACATACAGACTAGAATCGCCGTCCAACAGAAAAATTCCACCTGAGAGTTTGAAAAATTAAACCTGTGTGACTCCAATATATGATATTGTTTATTTGACCGTTATTTGTATCTGCAGAAAATTCTATCGTTTGTCCGGAAAGCTAGAAATTTCTCTTCGCTGATCCGGAAAAATGAGAGCGCGTTCATTATTCGTCGTTGTTCTTTGTGTGACCAAACGAAACGGACAGCAAAATCGTATATCCGATCCATTGTATCTCAATTGTCTTTGATCGGTTCGGGTTATCAAGTTTCTCTTTTTCCTTTATGGGCACACTAAAGTAGCGGAACTAGCTCTATGACATATTGTTGAAAATTCCGATTTCCTATACGAATACAAAGCTTGCTTTTTCATGCGTGTTTCAACAGCCTCGTTGCTTATTGTATTTTTTTCAAGTAAAAGGCTAGAAAATTTATTCGGCATCAAATACCATCATCATTTAGAGAATAAAAATTGGATATCAAGTTAAGAATAAAAACTCATCATTTAACGAGTTTTCTATGAAAAAAAGAATCTAAAAAATGCGTATTTCTTCATTTGAAATAATTTACATTAAAACTAAAATTTAGCTAACTTATCGCAATTTTCTTATAATTCATATAATATAAAATGAAATAGATTAATTCCATAGTAAATTCTTATTTTAAAAGTTATTTTAAATATCTATATTTACGAACATATATATGTATTTCTCTGCTTCCTTTTTTTTAGTTGTCTATTAAAATTAAATAAAAAATTAACAGATATTTTGATCAGTAATAATTGATTATAAATGTGACTATATCTAGATACTAGCATACAGTTAATGTCTTTAGAAGTAGACCATGCCCACAAAATGGCATATACGTATAAATGTAAAATATATGTGTGTGTGTTTAAAATGTGTGTATTTTATGTGAATATAAGTGTGTACCTACTATATTTCAGTTGATACCACCATTGTGTGGACATGCCAATCAAAAAGGAAACTAGGATAACTAGAATCCTTCTTCTAGGGACACCGATGTACAGAAGTACGTAAAATTGTAATACCAATAGCATTACCAATTGAAAAATAATTATAGAGAATAGATACTTTCAAGTAGACACCGTTTAGAAATATCATTTGATACTTACATATTCACATATACTTATGAGGCAATGATACTTTACTATCAGGAATCGAAACTAATTATGAGGCTTTATTCATTACATTCACAAAAGCACCGAGACGCGACATTGCAACAACATTATATCTCGTTGTATGAATCGCGAATAGATTAATACGTCATATAACAATCCACGGTCAAGTGGTTTCGCAAACGCTTTCTTTGACACAACTCAGCTACCAAGGAAAATATTCGCGAATGAACTCGATTGTGGATTGATGATAGTATCAACCTTCCTGCAATTTCCTGTTAAAGTGAAGTTGTTCGTCCTTTTACATCAGGCTGCAAAGAGCAAATCCTGGTCCAGAATCGAATGCCGATTGTAATACCGTGGTTTCCATGCAAAATGCAGCATCCGTATACATTGCTGCAATTCGTTGTTGTTGCGCTCGACTTTCACTCTGCGATCTGCAAGCATAAATTATTTAAATTTTTCTGAATGGAAAATGTTTCTAGAAGTAACTAAAATGATTTGAAATAAAAAGATAGATAGAATAAAATTAATAAACAGATAGAAAAAATTATTCTACTCTTTGAATTGTATAATTGAATTATATAATTTTGATTAAATTAATGATTACACTCTCGAACATTTTTACTCGAGAAAAATGTGTAACACATTTCAGAGAACTCTTGAAATTATTCTTGTCATTTTCTTTTTAATTTGCTCGCGATTATAGCAGAGATAAGAACGCAG